ATTCAGAAATTAAAAATACATTTTTTTTACTAAATTTGCATAACAATCAATTATTTTCTCATTTAATAGATTTTTATAAATTAATGAACAATTATTGGGCGCTGACTGAGAAATAAATTCAAATCAGAATTGTTAAATATAATAGAAAAAGCAGAATGAAAAGATTAAATTATGATATTAATTCATTATAAAATATATTTCACTTTTGATTTAATCCTGGTTAGCTTTGTAAAATGCAACATCCTTTAGTTTTAAATAACTAAAGTAAATCTAGCCCTTAATAAATTACAAACTCTCCACTATGTATTTTTGTTCCTTACGTTTTAAGACATAGCTGTTGCGATATAAGTAGTATAGTATTTTAAGAGTTAATTAAATTTGTCTCAAAACTATCACAATCGCGTTAAAAATCAAACGATCAGTTTTACAATAGCTGGGATTAATACTAAGAGAGAATGTCCTTAACATCCCATAAGCTGATAGATTTATCACTACTGCCAGATGCTATTTAGTTCCATCAGGAGAAAGCATTCTGTTAGTATCCATTATTATGTTCATCTAGTTAGGCTTTTTATTTTACTGTCTTAACATCCCATAAACGAATTAAGCCATCCTCACTACAAGATGCTAAAGTAACTTCATTTCTACTATTAACTATAATCCATACGACCCAATTTATATAAATTTTCTATCTATGCTTGTAAGGAGAACTAAAAATTTGATAAAATCTATGATTCCTTTATTATCGTTCATCCTCTTTTTTAGATCTTTTCTTGTTCTTCCTAAATCTCTGAAGAATAGCCATCTTTATTAAATCAATATAATTTAAAGAACAAAAAATATAATTTTATTGAATATATCTTAATTGAAATAATGATATAGATTTATAATAAATTTATTATTTAAATAAAAATAAATTAAAATTTTAATTAAATATACCTATTTTTATCTCTCTTAATATAAATTAATATATATCGGTTAAAATACAATATATATTATTTAATTATCATAACATCTCAGTTTAGGGAATTCAACTCTCCAAACTATTAAATATTGATTATAATTGTATAGAAATTAATTTCACCAGTTTAGAATGCACTCCTACAAATTATAGTAAATTAGCGAATTTAGAAAGTATTATTTTTATTAATTATTTATTAATTAATAACTGATTTACAACAAAATATTCATTTAGAAAATTTAAAATAGTGAAAATAATATGAAAATTGGAAAAATTATTTTCACCAATATATTAGAGTAATGTTTTTAAAATATATCAGAGGTGATAAAAGAGGTATATTTTATCACCTCATAAGATAAATCATATTAATATTAATTATATTTTATAAATAATTACTGATTATAGCTAGATGATTGCTGATAGTTAATTCCATCCTTAACAGATCAAATTTTCATTGAATTCTCTTATCAGAGAACAAATTGGATTAACTTAAGCCATTATTTTAGGGTGGAGAAAATCTTTAAATCTAAATTAGATTAATTTTTTCTTTTAATAATTAAATAAAAGACCAAAAAATTAAATTGTGGATTCATATATAATTTAACTTTAAGTTTATGAATTTGTATGAAAATTCTTCTATTTAAACACATCCATTTTTGAAATCAATGACTAATTCAATTTCTGTATTTCTCAAATACATCTAAGTGAGTTGTATATTTTAGTGTTAAAAAATTATTAAAATATTTTCTAATCAACTCCCGACTTAGAGGTCTCACACAACTTTGTATATCGAAGATCATGATACTGAATATTTCTCATTAACCTTCAAATACTTTATTTTGAACTCATCCTCTTTGTAGAAACACAATCAATATTACAATAATTTGTTTTTTTTAAAAGTATAGTGTAGTGATGTTAGGATCTCATTTTCTCATCCTAAATTAATAATCTAATTACCTTTTTAATATAATTATTCTACATTAATCTGTTCTTATTAATTTAATTCTGAATTATTTCAATTGTATTGTATTTCTTTTTAATTTAGTGATCATATCATCTGGAAATTTCCCTATTTTCTCTATCAAATTTTTTCTAATTTAATTTTATTTGATCACTAATTCTAAAGCTTAATTCAAATTGTAATATCTTCTCTATAATTAAGTAATTAGTCCTATATTTTTAAACATCAACTTTAAGGTTGATATTTGGCTCACTTTTTCAATTTAATTAAATTTCTTCAATTCTAAAGTTCTGTATCTATTTCATGATAAATTGCTTTATTTAAATTTATATATGATAAGTTTATTCCAGGTATATTGTTTATATCTATATAAATTCCTTTAAAATAACCCTCATAAAAAAAATTTAATTTATAATCTAAATTTAAAAAATGTAATCAGAATATTAATAATAATAATATTTATGCGCTCAATTTTGTTGACTGGTTACAGAATCTAGTATTTCGAGGTCACCTACTCGAAGATCGGCAATAATGGCCTATTGCATTTTCCCAGTCAAGGATTTGCTTTTTAAAAATGGGGCAGACATATGTTATTACTCCAGTTTAGGATTCAGAATTCAATCTTGGTTTTTAAAGTATATATGTATTTACAGATATCGTATAGCATATATTCTAGGCTAGTTTAATATTTAATCATGTTAAACCATATTGAGTTACCTTAACCTTTGGATATCATCAAAATCTTCAAGTAGATATGAATTTCTTCTCTGAATAAAGACTTATCGCATCCAGCTAGGAAGACTTGCTCAATTTTTTCGATTCCTTAGTCGTTAATATATTTATCTTATAACCCTAAAGTTCTCCTGAGGAGCTTGTCTCATATAACAAAAACGTCTTTGTTTCTTGTTAACTATAACATTTTATCCACTGTTTGAAGTTTTCATTAAAATGGGCTTTTCTTACAAACATAAAGTTAATCATCTGATTCTTCTTGGATGTGTTGTTATAAAAGCTGATCCTCAGGTGTCTTTCATAATTAAGCCTAATGATCAAACTTTGGATATGAGTTGGGGAAGAATAATCACCTTTCAAGAGGTCAATGCTGTTGATAAAGTTTATTGGTTAATAAAAGCCTATTAGATGGTCGAAAGTATTTATTTCCATCCTTTAATATTTTTCTCATTATGTCGGTATAATCTGTCTAGGAGTTGTAACTGTGTTTTATTTAGCCATATATGGTTAAAATCATAGTCTTCATCTAACATGACATGATATGATAGTTCATGGGCATGAAAGTTATTTATAAAGGCAGGTGTCTCTAGGGGAAGCCCCTGGAGCTATGTATAATAATGTGACACTATTTTATCTCTGTTTAAGTTTGTCTTTTCTTATCTATTCTAAAGTGATGTTTCGTTTAAATCTTGCTGCTCATTCTGATAATTTCTAACCATTTCTAAAAATTCATCCATTTACCTTTCTTGGTAACCTCCATTTGGATCTATAATGACGGAAACTTTAAGAATATTATACTTTTCCCATTTCTCCTCAGTAGCAATCTTGTAGTTATTCATTAATTCCTCTAGATATTCTCTGGGTCCATTTTTGACCTACCACTTATACATCCAACATTCGGTCATTCTCTTAAAAATTTGCTACTTGTTCTCGCTGCCATATTCAGATTTAGGCTCCCAAGGAAGAGCATATTTAGGAATCGGTCTTACGAGTCCTTATAGAAAATGGTCTTCATCTAGTACTCACATAGTGCCCTACTCTCTCGAGGAAGTTCGAAGCAAGTGATGTGCCTTTCTTGATATAATCAGAATTATTTTTAGCATCATTTATCTTACAAAGACTATTTGTCTATTGTCATTAATTTCAAATGATTTTTATTTAGATAGATTTTAGTAAAACCATATTCTTATACTTGTAGATAATTTATTGCTATTTAATTATCAATTAAATAATATTTCAACTAAATTTTGTCTTTAGAACAAATTAAAATGCTTTTTTTATAATTTTTTTCTAGACTTCTAAATTAGATTAAAATGTTTATATATTGCAATATAGTCTTTATTTAATGTTTTTTATTATTAAATAACATAAAATAATTGTAAATATTGTTTATTAATTATTTATAAAAAGCATCCTTGCTACAATAATTACTAAAATTTTTTCATTTATCTTTAAATAGCTAATGAGATGCTTAATGAATTAATACTGTTTTATTTACAGTTAAAGTCAATTGTCTTCTTGAATTTCTACAATCAAGATGTATTACTTCTACAATTCGATCCATTTTTATAAATAATTTAATTTTAAGTTATAAATTTATTGGAAATCTATTTTTTTTCCTCGAATTATTCTTGAAAATTCTGCAAATTTATTATTCTCTTAATCAGAATAATTCAATTCAAATACATATATTTTAGTGCTTTTTATGTCAGATTGTTATTGCCATGCTCTAAAATCTTAAAATTATCAACCTTACTTTGGTTGAGTAGTGTAAATCACCTTTGATATCAATAGTCACAAAAATATTTTCAGGTTTTAAATCTCAATACATAATGCCTCTATTCTTGATCATCTAAAACTTAATTTAATATGGATTTAATTAAATTGATCATTTCAGCATTTTTCATTACATTTAAATTATAATAGTAAAATTTTAGAGAGTCTGTTGGTTAAATTTATAACCAGGAAATGAACAATATTCAAGTTATCAATAATGATCATCGTTTGTTTGTTCAATCCAGCCAGCAAAAAGTTTTAATAAAAAATAAATTTATATACCTCAGAGAATACAGAAAAAAATAACTTTGAGTTGCTTACAGTTACTCTAGAATTTAAGTTAGAATATTTTCTCATTAAATTTTTTCATACAAATAATCTGAAATGTTCGATAATTAAAGGAAAAGACTATATAATAATGAAGTTTGCAAATTCTAATAAATTTTGTGATATTTTTGTTATTTAAATAATAAATTCTAAAAATACTAATAGAATATATATGTTGTTTTAATTCTATTACATGCTATTTTTATCTTGGGATATATAACATTTTCTTATAAATATTTAAAAATGAATTAATATTCAGCTAAATAACATTTATAAAGTGTTTTAAAGCAAACATAAATACAAGAATAAATTCTCACACAATCGATTTAGAAATAAATTGAAATGTTAAACTAAGAAATTTATTAGTTAGACAATAATAATAACCTTACAAATAATTAAATATAATACTATAAGAATTAATACTAATAATAACTAATCCAAAAATTAAAAGATTTAGGTTAAGCAAAATCAATTCCTGAAATAAAATAAAATAATGAAGATAAAATTTTAATTTACGTTTTAATAGAATCATTATTAAGAGATTAAAATAGAGAATTATTAATAACAAGTTAATAATATTCTTTTGGATTTGATTCTATTATAGGGGCTTATGGCTCAGATTAATCTTGCCTAAAAGTTAGTTACAAAAATCTTGATTTTGATAAAATTATGAATGACAATCTATTGTTCGAAGAGCACTTATTAGAATTTTAATAAAAATTATCGATTTCACTTAATATTTCAATTGATTAAATTGAAATATTAGGAGTATCGAAGGAACGCTTTGAAATTAGTTTTTAGATTATCAGAAGCAATCATGAAGAAATTTAATAATAGATTAATAATTCCCCTAATACATAGAAATTTTTAAATGAATATTGTAATGGTCAAATTGAACATGTAGCTTACTTTGATTAAGCAAGAGCTGTTGTAGGTGATTTGAAAAAAGGCTGTTCAGGAGTAGCTTTATCTTTCGAAGATTTTAATCCTCAATTCAATATGAGTTGGGATAATTTTAATGAAAAAGAATAAAGAGGACCTCCTTATCATAGATATGATTACTATTTTCCAAGAGGTTGTTATGGATTCGGATTAAAAATTAAAAATTACAAAAACAATGATTGGCTTAAAATGGATGGTAATGTCAATGAATGGAGAATTTTATACCATGGTACTAAGAATTTTGCAGTTAATTCTAATATTGAAAATAATTTGGTGTCTGGTTCTAGATAAGTTTATGCTGCTGATTAATGTATGGATGAATTTGGAAATGAAGTGAAGGTAGGAACAGGAATATATTTCTCTGATTAATATACTGTTTGTATTGAAGATGGATTTGCTGAGTACATTTAATTAGGTAATAAGTTGTTTGCTTTGATCTTTATGTCGCGAGTAAACCCAAAAAAAATTAGATAAAGTGAAAGAATGAAAAAAAAGAATTATTTTGTTGTTAATAATTCAGAAGATGTTAGACCATATAGAATTTTATTCCATCAAAAAAAAGATATAAATAATTGATCAAATTTAAAGAATGAAATTTCTCTTAAATTATTTTTGATTATTTAAATAATTATATGATAATTAATGTTATATATTTATCATTTAATTTTATTTAATTCTGATCAAATTTAAAGGTATTTTCTATTAATTCATATATGAGATAACATCTAAAATACCTAAAGAATGAAAATGATCATTATAATAATTATAAAATGTATTGAAATTTATTCAACAATTATTAATAGATTATTTCGTATTAAGACAAGATAATCTATAAAAAACCAATATTCTAAATATCAATGATGAGTTAATTCAAATTGATGAAGAATTAAATAATTCATAAAAATAAGATATATTAAATCTTAATTGAATAATTTCAAAATATAATAGAATAAGATTTTGGAGAATAAAGGGGGTAAAATATAATAATTATATACAAAGATGTAAAATAAAATATAAGAATATTTATATGATAGAGATAAACATAAAAAAATATTACTTAATAAAAGATTAAGCCATGTATAAATGATTGATGAAATAGTATGAAATAATAAGAATTCTATTATGCATAGCCATTGAAAAATGAAAATATATTAATTCATCGATTAAGTATTATTAGAAAAATAAATTATTTCAGAACACAAAGAAGTTAAATGTTTAATACTTGTGAAAAAGATAAACAATTTTATGTCATGAAGCAAAGATGGGTCTATTATAATATGGTCAATTGATAAAATAATTAATGGTACTTTTTAATCAAAAATGGATGGCACAGTGTGAGAGAATACTTTGTTTAAGTATAAATAATAATGATGGCCTCCTTATTTTTATTATTTATGATAAAACAATCAAATTTTGAAATATTACTACTAAATGGATAAGTAATTAGATAATTTTTGAACACAATGAATAAGTTTGGAGTATTGATTTAACTGCATCATAAACTAGATTGATTTCAAGTGGAAACGATAGAATTATTCTTGTTTTTAGAACATAAAATGAAAGATAATATTTTTTATTATAGTATAAAAGATAAAGGTTGAGGTTCGAGATATAGAATATTTTTTAAAGTGATAATTCATTTGTATTTTAATAATGGATTTCAAATTTGATGAATTGCTATTAATATAATGAAACTAAAATGAATTAATAAAGGAAATATATAAAAGTAAAGTCTAGTGATAGTTGTGACTTTTTATCACTTTTATAAAATGTTGACAGTAAATAATTACTTGTAATCAAAAATGGGTTTCACATAAATATTTATCGAAGACATGAAGTAGAAATTCTTAAAACAAAATTGATAATTCCTTTTGATAAAATTATATTTATGTATCAATTAGTAGAGATAGAGAATTCTTGACTACTTGGGATAATATGATAAAATATAAAGTATATTAAAATATGTAATTGTTAATCTAATTCATTTAGTGAAGAATAATTAATAATATTTTATTTCATAAATAATTTGTAAAAAAATTATAATAAAAGATCTAACAACTTTAAAATATTATCATACTTTATCCACTACCTATATAACTGTTTGATTTAAATGTAATAAAGGATACAGATCAAAGGAATTTAGGAATGGAACAGACTTAAAAATCTATATTAATACTTACAATATTGGAATTATCATTTAATTTAGTCCAAGTAATTTTAGATTTTCCCATATCCAACTCAATGATTATTGTGTCATTTTCCTTAAAAGAAAAATTTTTGTATGTTGTAAATGAATTATGAGAGAATACAAGTCCAAGTGAATTTACAAGGTAAGTTCTATATATGTTAATCAAATAATTTTACCCGTGTTCCTTTTATTGAAATAGATTAAGTTGATTATTTATTTATTATAACATATCTTTTTTCCCCACACCCAATGCTACATAATATACTGGATTTAAAAGCTTTATAGCAAATTTTGTTATTCCAGTTTTTGGAATCATAGGATTACCCATAATTATATTTTCACTTATTAAACACTTTACTAATTTTCCATTACGTGTAATTTCTACATGTGAATTATATTCTTCAATTTTAAATTAAACATCTAAAAATTTGAGAGAACTTTATGTAGGTGTATCATAATTTGCTAATCCATTTCCCTGAGTCTATTATATTTAATTTCTTTTTTAATCTTGTATGTTAGTATTCTCATTTTAAGTAATTAAATCATTATATGAAATTTTATTGAATTAGATAATGAATTGACTCTATTGATTCTATCGGCTCTATTGACTTTAATGATTCTATCGACTCTAATGACTCTATTGATTTTATTGACTCTATTGATTTTATTGACTCTATTGACTCTATTGATTTTATTGACTCTATTGACTCTATTGATTCTATTGAGTTTATTGATTCTATTGAGTTTATTGATTCTATTGAGTTTATTAACTCTATTGATTCTATTGGGTTTATTGACTCAATTAACATAATTGTAAGATAAATGAGTTTAAATTAAGATTGAGCATATCTATTTGTTTTTCTAAATTTACCACTTCTTTCATAAATAAATTTAATTATGCTATCTTAAATTGATTAAAATTTTTTTTTAAGTTCTCTATTAATGAAAAAGATTCTGTCATTTATTATATTGTACATTCAAACTTCATAAAAAACTATTTAAACCAATCTTCCAAACTGGGAAAAAGGTACAATTTATTTTTGTCATGTCTATGACAATTCATATAACATTCATGACAGAAAGATTTATCCTCTATGCATTATTAATCAATGCACACTCCCATAATTGGTTTAGAATAATGATATTCTTTTAGGCATTATAATTTGTTTATGTTCATTTTTTATATTAATTATTAATTTAAGATTTAGGTTAATAACAATTCCTTAAATTATTAATATATATAATAACACTTTATTAAAAGAAAAAGGGAAAAATATTAACAACATAAATATTATCTAAAATTGACATCAAATATATCAGTAAGAACTTATTACCTTTAATTTTGATTTTGATTTTCTTTTTCCTAAAGTAAATAACACAAATACAAGTTCATTAATTAAATGATTTCTTTTTTACAGAAGAGGGATAATAATAAAATCATAGTATAATTTTTCTTCCAATAGTAAAAAATGCTACAATTGACCAAAATTAGGATTTCTATAATTCTACTTAATACACAGAGACCAATTTATAAAAAATATAATAACCAAGAACTCTTAAGAAAAATCCATTATACATTTGTTTACATCCTCTCTATTATTTATTGTAATCATTTTTATGTGTATTTCTAATGAATTTGATATATATTAATACACTAAAATTAAAAAAAAGTTTAATTGAAAAATACTAAATTGAATATTTCTATGGTAGACTTATAAGTAATAATCAAATAGGATTTTCCTATTATTAATTATAATGAGTCCATAATTAAAAATTGTTTTCGCTGTTTAATATTTGGATTCACCTTTAGCAAAATATTATTTTTCAAAAATCTCAAAATATATATATGAAATATTAACCATCTAATACGTTCAACCTAAGAATAATCCTTTAAATCTCTTATAACAATAAAAATATTAATCTACTTATCATCTAAATAGAAATAGTTATGTCCAGCTTTTCAATATCAGCTGCACATTAGATTAATCAAAGTTTTGCATTAACAAGATCCTTAATCTTATTTAAGCCCCCTAAAAATATAAATTATTAATCGAGATATCAGTCGTATATCACTGTTCTCAAAGAAATCATTCATTATTTGCATCAAGAATAGCTAAATTCTATTACTAGAAATCAATTATCACATAATTTTTAATGATGAACATCATTAAAAAAATTTCTATTTAACTCAAAATATAAAAAATAATCAATATTTAAATATTTTTAAATAAATTATAAAGAGAATTAATTTATATTTAATATAAACCCACTCTAAATTATAATGTATTTTTTGGTTTTAATTAAAAGAAAAATTAATCTATCTACTTTTAACAATTAATAATTTTAATTTTAAGGTATTGAAATATTTCTAACATTCATAGAAATTAATAAATATATCTATTTTTCATAATTTTTAATAGTATTGAAAAATTCAATTTTCTTTATTTTATCATTTCTTCTTATTTTTGAGTTTGTTGTTTACTAAAAAATAGTTTTATATTTATTGCTATATTCTTGATAATTATTAATTGAATATTACCATATTTAAAATATTATTATTAACAGTTTAACATATACTTTTTTTATTTCTTTTATATATGGAATTTTAATTAATAGATTTTGAATTTCTATCTCATTCCTTATATTAAAAAGAATTCAAAATCAAAATCAGCTTTAACTTATCTAAAATTTATCAACTTTTTTCAAAATAATTATGCCAATTCTAATTAATAATAAATAATAAAACAAAAAAATTTAATTATAGTAACTGTTATCCAATAATTCTCACCTATTAAAAAAATAGGAAAATCTTTTAAGCATTGAAGACTTGAAATAAGCAAAATAGGACTGTAATGGATCTAATTCTAATTAACATTGAATAGTTTTTTTCTTAGATGAAACTGGAGTAAATTATTATAATTAATGCAACAAAAGTTGTAACCAAATTTTTGATATGTAATTTTTCTTAATATAAACTAATATTTAATTATTGCTTAGTAAAAACCAGAAGTTGGTATAGCCTTTGACATTGAAGAAATTTGTTTTATTGAATCAATGTATAAAAAAATAGAAGAATCTTTGAGTTAGAGTCTTGGATACTATATTTAAAAGTGGTTCAAATTAAAAATGATGCATAAAGATTTATTAATTAAGAGAGAAAGAAAATAAAGTTGCACTTTGGGGAATGAATGTCCACTTTATTTTTTGGTACAATCCATTATAATTGGCAATTCATCATCTGGGTTATTTTATGTGGTAAATTATTCGAAATTCTTGTTTTATGTATGATTTGTTAAATAACTATAAATTGTATTTCAACAAGTTCTTAAAATCCATAATTATCAGTCTTCACGACAGTATTAAAGGAATATGGATAAAATATATAATGGAAATAGATTTTGGAAGACAAGAAATAAGCAAAATAAATGCAAGTAAGGAAGTCTTAGACACATGGATATTAATTCATAACATGATTGGAATCAATTTAGAAACATCCCAAACAACTTTAATTTTTGTGTTTTAAATCAATCCACTCTTAAATAACGTGTCTGATCTACTTACTTCCATAAATTATGGTCCTCCTAATTCAAAAGTGAAACAATTCTTTTAAAATAATTCACTATTAAAGATGGATAGGTTGATAGATATACATGGGATTTATTAGAGACTCAAAAAAAGAGAGAAATATTGAGAAGCAAATTATCAGGATAGAGTATATAAAATTTTAAGTTAAGTCATCTCTCTAGATCTTAATTTCGTAATTGGTTAAGTTACTGTTAAATAACTCTTTATTTATATTTTTTATGATGTCTAAAATTGGGGCAGCCTTATCTCGCCTTTTTAGTTAGCTTTTAATCATACAGATTTCTGGTTAAGGACGAAATATTTCTAATTTATACATTTGGAATTCCAATTGCATAGTTATGGAAGACTTATTAATTTGATTTTAGTATATGTATATTTTACAAATTATAATATATTAATAATATTAATTTTTATATGATGAAACATATTTTTTTCTTTGTTTATGAATAATTTAGGTCACCTTCCTATAAGTTATCTATTAAGTGGAAAGTTAGAATTTTTATTCTCATAAACTGTAATTAATCAAAACGAAAGCTATGAAGAATTATGTTTGATTTAATGATTATAATGTCGATATATTCAGTTTTATAATTCATATTTCTCTTTTAGAAAATTGAGAAATATACTACTCCAAATACTTCTGCTAAGTTATATTTTGAATTATTGATTTTTATGATTCAAAAGGTACTTGATCTGTTCTGCTCTGCTTTGTGTATCATACTTTATTATATATGAGTGCCTTGTTAATTCATACCTAAAACATTAAAATTGAATTAATTTACGTTGTAAAGACAGTTACATATAGAGAATATTAAATTTTTTCTTCAACTTGAAAGAAATAAAGTTCAAATCCAAATGAATTTTGCAAAAAACTGAAATAGTAAAATACTCTTCCGAGGCTTATTATACGGTAATCTCTTTACCCTTTATTCAAGGATTCTAATTTTTTCATTAAACACCCATCCTACTTTTAATAAAAAGTACCTTGTTTTCATTAAAGTATAGTGTTAAATGAATTCTTATTTTTTGCAAGAATCCTTGAGCACTCAAATTTCACTGAGGCAAAAAAACTACCTCTCAACTGATGGCCGACTATGATATAGAATTTTTCAAATAATTTTTAGTTAAAGTTCAAATTGTCTTCATGAAGGTGTCGCAGGAAATCCTGATCTGTAAATGCAAATATTATATATCTAGAATCGATTCATAATGAATTTGTGCAAAAATTATTATTAAATTAATATTAATATACAAAAATCAATTTAATAATATCTTCCTCGTTACAGCTGTCGCAAATATCAACTACATGCATTTAAAAGGTTAAAAAACACATTCAGTAGCTTATGTTCCATAATCAGCGGCACTTTTGAATTGCATAAATATAAGTATTTTAAGTGCAATTCGAAATTCTATTTTTTTAATGGCGCTTAGATGGCTATGGTATAATCAGCTCATCAAGTTTCTTAATAATGGGAATGAGAAATTATAAAAATTTATTAAATTAGAATTTTCAGTTATTTGGAATAAGCCAAAAGATATATTATTATTGGAATTGTATTAGCTATTTAATTTAGTCTATATCTGCTCTATAAACTAGTATTATTTAAAGTTATAGGAAAGAATTCAACTGAATGAATAATGTAATAATAATAATAATTTTGTTCTTATTAATTATGGAATTGTTGATAGAATAAAATTAATAATTATTTTTAAGTCAAAGGATAAAGTAATAAATGATGATATTATTTAATAGTTTAAGCTCTCAGGTGTAAACCATTATTAAGCAATATTATCAGAATTAAATGAAAAAGATTAACTTATTAAATTATGTAATGAATTCATACATAAACATGATCTGTATATAAAAAATTCGGAGATTAATATATCTTTTTGAATTTAGCCTAAGCATTACTTAAATAAGGGTTTTTTGAATAAGTTATTGAATCATAGGATGAAGCAATAAAAAGTACAAGAATATTTTGGCTGANAAACTGAAATAGTAAAATACTCTTCCGAGGCTTATTATACGGTAATCTCTTTACCCTTTATTCAAGGATTCTAATTTTTTCATTAAACACCCATCCTACTTTTAATAAAAAGTACCTTGTTTTCATTAAAGTATAGTGTTAAATGAATTCTTATTTTTTGCAAGAATCCTTGAGCACTCAAATTTCACTGAGGCAAAAAAACTACCTCTCAACTGATGGCCGACTATGATATAGAATTTTTCAAATAATTTTTAGTTAAAGTTCAAATTGTCTTCATGAAGGTGTCGCAGGAAATCCTGATCTGTAAATGCAAATATTATATATCTAGAATCGATTCATAATGAATTTGTGCAAAAATTATTATTAAATTAATATTAATATACAAAAATCAATTTAATAATATCTTCCTCGTTACAGCTGTCGCAAATATCAACTACATGCATTTAAAAGGTTAAAAAACACATTCAGTAGCTTATGTTCCATAATCAGCGGCACTTTTGAATTGCATAAATATAAGTATTTTAAGTGCAATTCGAAATTCTATTTTTTTAATGGCGCTTAGATGGCTATGGTATAATCAGCTCATCAAGTTTCTTAATAATGGGAATGAGAAATTATAAAAATTTATTAAATTAGAATTTTCAGTTATTTGGAATAAGCCAAAAGATATATTATTATTGGAATTGTATTAGCTATTTAATTTAGTCTATATCTGCTCTATAAACTAGTATTATTTAAAGTTATAGGAAAGAATTCAACTGAATGAATAATGTAATAATAATAATAATTTTGTTCTTATTAATTATGGAATTGTTGATAGAATAAAATTAATAATTATTTTTAAGTCAAAGGATAAAGTAATAAATGATGATATTATTTAATAGTTTAAGCTCTCAGGTGTAAACCATTATTAAGCAATATTATCAGAATTAAATGAAAAAGATTAACTTATTAAATTATGTAATGAATTCATACATAAACATGATCTGTATATAAAAAATTCGGAGATTAATATATCTTTTTGAATTTAGCCTAAGCATTACTTAAATAAGGGTTTTTTGAATAAGTTATTGAATCATAGGATGAAGCAATAAAAAGTACAAGAATATTTTGGCTGAAAAAAATATGTTATTTATAACTACTTTTAGTTAAAGCTTTAAATGAGTGAAATAGATATCGAGAGGCTATTCAAATTTGTAATCCTTTAATCAATTTCTAATTAGATAAAGAAAAGTAATTAAAAATTGCAAAAGTATCAAATAATCTAATACTGTTGAGTGAATAGCTTCTAAATATAAACTGTTTTTTGTTATCATATTAGAAAAATTAAGTAATTTTAGAGAAGCCCTAAAGATATCTAGAATGAACGAACAATAAAAAAATATATTATAAACAAATCTAATATCTTAATAAACTGTTTTCACTTTATTAAAGTGTTCTTAATAAATATTTTAAGGTTTTATAATTCTAAAAAAATAGATTGTTTTTTAAATTTTAAACATTCTTAGATGCATTATAATCTTTAAATTATTATTTCTATATTTGTAATATTAATCATTTCCTTCCATTGGAAAGCCTTATGTTATGGTTTGTGCGTCAATATGATCATTAATCATATGATCCGAATAACCTATTACCTAAGGGGTTCCAAATCGTAATTTTTAATATAATTTACAACAATGAGTGTTATTCTAAATATTATATGTTCTTATTAATTTTTGTTTATTATTCATATAATTAGAATGTAAATGATATTAAAAAATAAAATGTTTTAAAATTTTTTTGAGTTGATACTTTTACTATTCAATGTTTTTTGTGTTGTTGCAAATTGGAGACTGGTCGATTAAAGTTTTACAGAGGATTAAATATTGAATGTTAACACTTGGATATCAAAAGGTTCCTGCACAACCTCAACAGTTTCAGATTCCCCTAGAGTTGGAAATTGTAATACAAATTAATTATAGTATATCAAATTAACTGACGATGAGCATTATTTACAAAAATCTTTCTTCTATAAAAGCTTTTAAGTTTAAGTAATTTTGGATGTCTTTTTTATCGAAGCAGAACTATCTTCATCAAATTTTTAGTTACTTATTTTAGTACATCATTTTAGGAAGTAATTTACTCCAGAGAATATGATAGAAATGATTTAATTCAAAATAGTGAAGTGATTTGTAAAACCTTTATAAACAAATTTGAATTATACACAATAGTAAGTAATATTGCCAATTTTAACAATGATTATTTTAAGATAACAATTTGTTTAACTCCTCGTTCTAATGATGAGTAAATAGGCATTAGAAATATGTTAATTTATGTCAATACTTGCCATCCTACATGTTTAACTTGTAATGGTCCTTTAGAAACAAATTGTTTAACATGTTATAATAGTTAAAGTGTAGTAGGCGGAAAATGCACATGCATTTCAGACTAATAATTTTCAGAAACATTTTTAGGTTGTATTTAAGAATGTAATAGAGATAACTCAATAGCTAGATATGATAAAATTTGTGTTTAGGACAACCGAATTAAATCAATCATTACTTTATTCAATAATATCATTCCATAATCCAGTTAATTTAGATATCATCCTTTTAGTTTTCTATCTGACAAATTTCATCCAAAAAACACAGATTTAATTTATGAGAATTGTAATGGAATTAGTTTTATTGGAATTCTATAATTTAGTGAAGGAATGCTATATCAAATTAACTTACAAGAGTCAATCAAATTCTTAAGAATGCGTATTACTTTTTATTTGTTTAATTTTCAAGATTCTAGTAAAATTGAAATTTTACATAATAATCAAACACTCTCTAGAATCATGAAAGATCCATCAGGTTTTTAATATGAAAACCTGATAACAATATTTGAAAAAAATGATAATTGTTTTAGTAGTAGTTTTATCTTATTGAGAGTAGAAATCACTTTTTAATTATTAAATGAAAATCCAATAATTATACTTTAAGGATAACTTTAATAAGAAGATGAATTCTGGGGTTTTAGAAATGTGACTATAGACTCTGGATTTTGTCAAAATAATTGTAAGATTTGTTTTGATAATTCTAAATGTTTATCATGTGAAACTGGGTATTAATTATATAAAAATAAATGTGAAATTTCGTGTCCAATTCACTCATCAAATTGTGTTGATTATGAAGATATCATTCAATGTAGAATTAAAACTATATTTTAGATTCAAGATATATCGCAAAAGGGTTTTACGATTTGAATATGACAATTGAAAATATCAATTCATTTTATGATACTGCAACAAATCCATCCAGCAATTATGTAACTGGCCAAAAATTTTCATTTCTTAATAATAAGATAGTATTAGGAGGTTTATTAGTTTGGAATGACGGATCATATATTAAGACATGGAGAATCTAAAAACCTCATTATGCAATGTCAATCTATTTTAATTTTACATATGGTGATAGTTATGGTGGTTAATTTTTTTATAAAATCGGTTCTTTAAGCAGCTCATTTTCGGGACCATATTTTAATCCCGGAGGAGGATCAAACTTAGTTGGTCGTAATAATATAGAAAGTACTTAATTACATTTGAATAATTTTTATGATAACGACTTATACTTAGAATTCAAATGTGCAGCCAACACAATTAATATATTATAAGGATTCTGTGCAATATCAGATTATTTCATTGTTGCTCATTATGTAAATTTAATCAATATTTTAAAGTGTCCTCCTTTTTGTGATAGCTGCTCTAGTTCAAGTTCATGTAATGTTTGGTAGTCTGGTTATACAAGTTCGAGTTGTAGTAATAATTAATATTTATACTTTAATGAATAAACAGAAACTTATACTTGCAATAATTGTGATCAATCTGGATATGCGTGAGTGCAGAAGACTGTACTTAATGTATTAGTGATCAATTCTAATTGTAAAATGGTATATGTTTTTGTAAACCATTTACATTTTTATAAGGGAATGTTTGTATTTAATGTAATAAATTTTGTGAACATTGTTTTGGTACTTCGAAATATGATTGTCTTTCTTGTGTTCAAGAATATCATAGAAGCATCTAAAGAAATTAATGTTTATGTTAGCCTGGTTATTAGGATGATGAAATAAATCTACCATGTCTACCAATTTGTGGAGATTAAATCATTGTTGATGAAGAAGATTGTGATGATGGTAATAATGACCCATTTGATGGATGTCATTAATGTTAATATACATGTTAAGATGAATGTTAACTTTGTTTCAAAGGTAAATGTTATCAATGCAAAGATAATTATTAATTAATTGAGGCGATTAATACTTGCATATCAATTTGTGGTGATATAGTAATAATTAAAAATGAATAATGCGATGATGGTAATGATAATAAATTTGATGGATGTTATCTTTGTTAATTCTAATGTTATAATCATTGTATCCATTGTAATTAAGGGATTTGTTATTAATGCGATGAAAAAAATGGTTGGTATTTAACAGGAACTAAATGTGAATTTATATGTGGAGATGGAATAGTTGCTAAAGGATAAGAATAATGTGATGATTCAAATTTATATCCTTTCGATTAGTGCAATTTTTGTGAATAAGAATGTTCTGAACATTGTTTACTTTGTTAAAATGAAGAGTGTCTTAGATGTGAGAAAGGGTTTTAATATGATTAATAAAATAAACTATGTATTCAAAATTGTGGCGACAATCTAATTGTAGGGAATGAATAATGTGAAGATTAGATTATGTATTATTAATAAATTTGTGAGGATTGCTAGTTTAAGTGTCATCATAATTGTCAACTATGTAATTACGGCAAATGTATTTAATGTTAATTTGGTTTTATATTAATTGATAATGGCTGTGAATAAGATTGTGGAGATGGATAAATTGTAGGTACTGAAGTTTGTGACTCATTATTTTAATATATCAATTCTAAATGTTTTAATTGTAATTATAATTGTGGATATGGCTGTTTGGTTTGTAATTAGGGAATCTGTGAAGTTTGTTAGATGGGATATTTATTAGATAATTATGCATGTTAACCAATTTGTGGAGATTTAATAATAGTTGAACCTGAGTTATGTGATGATGCAAATTTAATACCTTATGATGGATGCTATGAATGCACCTATTCTTGTGAATTAGGATGTAGTATATGCTAATCTGGATAATGTACAGAAATGAGTTAGCCAAATGAAGATAATAATGATAATTATTAAACTACTTCTGATTGTATTCCAGATTGTAAACTTTGTGATAATGATAGTTAATGTTTAGCTTGTAATGAATACTTTCAATTAATTAATTATTTATGTGCACCTATATGTGGGGATAGTATTGTGATAGAGGGTTTAGAAGAATGTGATGATGGAAATGATCAACCATATGATGGATGCTATAATTGTGAATTTTAATGTTCTTAAGGTTGTGTAGAATGTTAATAGCATTAATGTACAATGTGTGATGATAAATTTTACTTTTTAGATATCTTAACTTAAAAATGTTTGTAAATAAACTCTGATCAAAATAATTAAAATATTGATTATCCAATTACAGAGTTTCAATAATATACTGCTTTAAGATGTGGAGAAAATCAATTGCTTATTAATAATTTATGTATTAATTAATGTGGAAATGGACTTCTAGCCAATTAATATGAAGAGTGTGATGATGGAAATACTTTTGGAGGAGATGGATGTTCTTCATTCTGTAATATGGAGGATTCATATCAATGTATAAATTAAGAAGACTCATTAAGTTTATGCACATATATAGAATCTCCTGACTTCAATCTCAATATTTTATCTGATAAAGCTAGTTCAATTTAATTATTAGAATTAACTTTCACTTAATAAGTTAAAATATAAACAGAACTAGCAATTGAAGATATTCTGTTATTCACTATTTCTCCTTAAACAAAGTATCACTTAACAATCAATAGCATTGATAATATAACAATTTACTTTGGCTATCCTAAATATTAAATTTAAATCGAGTTTATTCAACCAATCTAAGATCCTATTCTATAAATTGATATAGAGAAGTCTATAATTCAGAATAAATTTCATTAAGACTTATAGATATATTAAAAGAAGATCATTCTTGGAACTCCTTTTGTGTTACCTGAGACCAAAAAATAATAATTAACTTCTGTTGTATAAATTAATGATGTTATGGTGTATTCTATGGTAAGTATATCAAGTTTAGCTTTGCTATCAGGTAATGCAATTATGTTCTTTAACTTATTAGATTTATTATAGTCCTTATCGTATATTAAGTATATGTAATATCAATTTCCACCTCATTTAATTGAATTTTTGAACACTTATACTAAAGTGTCATTATAACCAATCATGAATTATTTTTAGGTAGATTAATTATTGGTAAAATTAAATGGTGGTACTTCTCCAAATCAAATCACTTAAAAATCAAATAGAAAAATCTCAAAAAATGCTTTAAATGAGTGTTATTTGGTTAATGCTAAAAGTTGTTATTTTTCTGCGATTGCATCATTAATAACATATTTTCTTAATTCTCTCATAGTGTCTAAAAGTGTTTAATATTTCGTTTTTACACTTTCTAATTATAAAAAGAATAATGTTCGGCTCTTAAAACTTATAGATTTTTTTTAAGAAAAAATTTAGAAAAAATGCTTAAAATTAAAAATTGAATATTTTTCTTTAGGAATTTATAAAGTTTATTAAGCAATTTTGCATTAGCTTCTGTTCAGTACATTATTGCAATTTCCAAATTATAAATTTAATAATTCATTTGAAATCTTAAACAGCGTTAATGCAATACTTGGGTTATTATTTATCCTTATGGCTACTTTTCCACTACTTTCAATTACTTCTGCACAAATAAAAGATTTAAGGAAATGGAAATATTTTCATTATGAATCTAAAACATAATTTTGGGCAGCTTAATGCAGGTCATTTTAAATTTATAGAACATTGTTTTATATTTTAATTATAGTGCAATTCATTAACTATCCAGAAGCATAATCAATTTTGCTTTCTATGTTATCATTTCTGCATTTGATTTATTTGGTCAAGTTTCAGCCATTACTATCTCCATTTGAGCTTTCTAAATTAATTTGTAGAGAATTGTTAATTATGATCACAACTGGAACATTTTTAATTTATAGTTTTGAGTTTAGTTAAGATAATTTTATGATGATTGGGTGGATTCATATTATTATGTTTTGTACCGTTTTGGCTTCTAATTTATTTATAGATATATTTGCATAAATACAAAAAATCTACCTTAATTACTTGCAAGAGAAATAGAAACGATAACTTGAATAACAAAAAAGATACTACTTTAATCATTTGTAAGGATTTATCGTGCATGATTATGAATATAAGAAATGACTATTTTATCTATATTTTTATTTAGTTGGTTTTAACTCTTTTAATGCTTATAATCTTAATTTTGAAATGATAACATATCTTCTATTTATTATTTAATATCAATAGTTAAATGTCTATATATTTTATTTAAATAAAATGTAAAAAACTACCTTAATCAAAAAATTAAAAAATCTATCTTTTTATTTCAAATTATCAAACATGTCATAGAAAAATATCAATATCTATGATGATATTACAATTCTTTCTCATATTTATTAAAAAAATTAATACAGATTAAATAACTAAGTAAAGAGAAAAAATCAATTATTTTTATTGATATCAATATATAATATTAACATGTTTGGATAAGTAACAATTTATGTTAAAGAGAAAATTTTCGCAACCTTTCGGATTGATTTCAGATTAATAAATAAATAAACATTATTGCATATTTTTAATCTAAAAAGTTTGATATTTTTCTCTTATAACTATAAACAATAGAATTTTTAAATCTTATGTCTAAAAAAAATTTTTTTTGATTTAGTCATGATTTAAAATCTAAGCATGTAGATAAAAATTTGTGAGAAGGATTTATTGTTGTTGAAAGATCTATTAGTATTTGATTTTAAGAGGAAACATCTAAATTTAATAGTGAAATCAACTTCTTTTGTTAATATTATTCTGGGAAGGGGACTTAGGGAAGTAAAATTTTATTCCAATTGCAGCTTAATTCTTCTAAAATTTAATTCTACTAAAAATAAATTTTTATGTTTACTCTTTAAGATGGTAAGTGATTATATTATTAATGAAGACTAAACTAATTTAACAGGGAATGAAAATTAATAATTTATAGGCTCATTAAAATCAGAATAAAGGAAAAGATTGTTTTAAATAATTCCTTTATTTCTTCGGAAAAAAATTACACATTAAACTTACATTATTTTATTTTTATATTAAACAACCTACTGTGCCTTATAAGTCAATCATTCTGGTGATAATGCATACAATACTACAGGTATTTATTTTTAATATTATCATCTTGCTGGAGCTAGAATATCTTGAAGGTTGTTTCAGTACAAAATAAATAACAAAGGCAAATTTTTTGATGCTCTTACTTTTATAGATATCGCATTAAGTATTAATCCAAAAAATGACTAAGCATATTCTAATAAAGGTTATAATTTCAATAACCTAATTAAATTCTCTTTATCTTTATGTAATTTAAAAAAGTACGAAGAAGCTTCTTGTTGCCTACCAAAAAGCCATCTAAATCAATCCTCTCTACTATAAAAAACATAACATTAAAGGCATTTAAAAATTTTAAATATTACATAGGAGCCATACTAATGTATAATAGTATAATAGTTTCCCATTTTCAATCCTAAAATAACAGAAATATGCCGATGAAATTTAATGTTTCAACTATGCAATTGTTCTAATAAAAAGGAACAATAAAGCTTATGAAGATAAAGGTTAATGCATGTAAGTTATTGTTAGCTATTTCCCTAAATAACTTCAAAAAAAAATTACATAATATACTATTTAACGAATAGGTTGCATTAGAATTTTTTTGATTAAGCAATCTTTCTTAAAGTAGATGTTCTTAAATTAAAGTGCAAAATTATTTTGAGCTCTAATATTAAGGCTGCATTTTAATCTATTTTTGATTCCGATTATAGAAAGAAAAAAATAATATAATTTTCTAAAGCATTAAGAATAGGTGTAGGAAAATTTTTTGTAATAATTAGGTAAGTTATGAAATTATGATACTTTTTCAACAAATGTTGTTTGAATGATCAGAAATATTTTTCAAGCCAAACTCTTCTTATAATAAAAATTAATTAATTTGGAAATATTATCAATTGAAAATATCATATAATATGTTTAAATAATTAACACTATTTATTTTCATTTTCAAAAGAAAAATATTTGTAAATATAATCTTTAATCGACCAATCTTAAAATCATTTTATTTGAATAAAATCGAAAAAGTTTTAATTTCTAAAAAATATATTATAATTTGTAGTTAAAAATAAATAAAGTAACAATATATCTAATATAGTTTTTGATTGAGTTTTATCTTCTTTTGTTAAAAGGCTTTACAATTTAATTATTTTATTTTTTCTTATTTTATTCATTTGAAATAAACTCTACTTGGATTTGAGCGGATACTCGTTTAATTACGTTATAATTTATAAACTGAAGAAATAACCAAGTGACTTTCATAGTTTGATAGTGGTAGTATATATATGAATTTGAATAATAATTTGTATAAAATCAAATTTAATATATCTAAGGTTGAAATTGATAAATTTGATTTAAGTTGCCATAAATAATATTATTCAAACACTCTACATCTATATTTAAAGTAAAAAACATCATCATCTAGTATTACTTGTGAAGAAACTACATTTATTTGTAATGCATATTTACATATTTCCGCTTCATAAACACAATTGGGTATCTTTCTAAAGACTTTATAATCAAAATTATAACTGAATCACTTAATTAATACTTTTCAAGAATTTAATTTAGCATCTTGCATTTTGAAAATTAAACAGATAAAAATAATATTTAATCAATAAATATTGTTGACTTTTTCTATAAGCTAATGGCTGAGAAAACAGAAAAGTTAAAAAGTCTAAATTGGTATTCTTAAAATTTAGCTTGATCTAGAGTATCTAATTAACTAAAAAAATACCTCCTAGATAACTATGAAGAAAATGATGATAAAACAAATCAAAAGGGTAAATTATCTATAGATTAGTAAAATAATTATGAAGGGAAATTTGATATGCAATAATGAATTCGCAGTAACAGCTACTTGATTTTGTTAAAAAACTCTATTTAAAAAATAGGTTTAAGAAAAAGATTAAAGAGTTATACGTATAAAAAAATAAAAATTGAATAAGTCTGTAGAGGAAAATTTTGTAGAAAGATTGGTACATTCAACATGATAGAATTGCAGTGAAAATGTGTTGATTACGCTGAAGAGAATTGATTTGTAAGTATCAATATCTAATTAGGCAAATCTCAAAAAAACGAGAATGATTATTGGTAGAAATAGATTAAATTATTTAGATATAATTAAGATTGATACCTAATGTCGTTAATTACATCAGAAATAATATGTTGACAGTTGAGGGGGAAATAATTAAAATGAAGAAATAACTCAATAGTATGGGGAATGATGTTAAATTTTGAGAGGAGTATTTGTAATATATCTACTCGAAATCAGAAAAAGGAAAATTTTGAAGGAAGCAGCAGAATAAAATGTTAAGTCCATCTACGTGCCATAAAAAACTCAAGATAAAGATAAAAATGAAATCAGTAGTTTGATGAATTTATATTAATTTCATGATAAAGTCAGAGAAGAGAATGAATTATTATTAGATAACAAGCAAAAAGTATTATTAATTCAAGGGCTAGCTGAAGTATGCAAAAGTAAAAGAGCCAAGAAATTTGAAGAGTTTATTTGGAAATTACATGATATAATCAAAAAATTGGGATTATATAATAAACCTGTTTATATTTTAGACCTTTTTTAAAAAAACGTGTTTTTTAAGCAGTAGAGGAATCAATCATTAAGATGATTATGGGTTTGAAGATCTCTAATTTAAAGAATGAAAAGATATTTTGTAAAAAAAAAATTCCGATTTTTAGAAAAATTTTATATTTATTAAACTCATATTAAGAGAAACGACATTTTTACTAGTAATAATTATGCCTAATGGTTAGCACCAGAAGATAAAAACTAATTTAAAGAAATCTAGCTTCTCAATTTTGACTAAGTTTAAAAATAAGAATATTTTAAGAAATTTAGTATTTAAAGTATTACAATGTTGATTTTTGATATATCAGAAGGGTAAGTTTATCCGTAAAACCCTATGGATATCAAAAAGTTTGAACTGAGTTGGTAACAAATTGAAGTCATCGCTTGTTAAATTTGATAAGTCAAAGTTGAAATCAGGGACTATTTTAAATTGAAAATAAATAGAAGGCATATTTTATTTTTGAAGGTAGATGATTTCATTACATTAAAAAACAATGGAGTTACAAGAAGCTCGAAAATAAATTTACAAAAATCATGGAGCTTTGAAAAGTATGACGGTATGATGAAGTAGGTTAATCTAAATTAGTTTTGGGAATTCCTTATATAAAGGAAATAATAGTTTAAGCATTGCCCTAAATGAAAGTTAAAGCAACAGAGGAAGAATTTTACAAAAAATGTTATGGAGTTCTTCATCATCAAATACATAATTCAGATGTATAAATCGCAATAGAAAACATATCTAATGGGGTTAATAAATGAAATTAAAAAAGAAGATGTTAATAATAAAAAAAATAACAAAATGGTGAAAAAAAACTTGAATAATTTTAAGAACTATACTCCAGACGATCTATAAGACTTGGAAATAATTGATTACTATTAAATTGCTTTTTAAGTTTGGAATAATTTGATTCATATATAATTTTAAATCACTTAAGAATTAGATGGACTATACAAAAAATTTTAAAGAATATTTGAAACTAATGCAATTCTACCAAATTAGAACAAATTTAAAATTTAAAAGGAAAGAATAGTTGTTTTTGATGCATTAAAAGTAGATAATCTAAAAAATTATGACTTTTATTGCGAGGTTATTAATAATCACATTTGAAAGAACTCGAAAACTTAGAAACTTAGGGATATTGATCGTTTTCTGTATGATTTATTAGAGTACACAATTAGATTGGCAAGAACAATGAGTAAAAATGTAATGACGTAAGTTTAATATAAGTAGCTAGGATTTTTTAAATAAAATGAAAAAAAATAGACCAATAGCAAAATGAATTTTTTCATGATGATGTTAAATATGGGGCTTAGAAGTTTTTAACTTGTCTCATAATAAGTATAAAAGTTCTTTATTGCAGCTGATTTATATCAAGTATAACTTTAATTGAAAGATTTTTATATTCAGATTTCAACACTATGATAGAAATGTTATCAAAAGAAAATAATTAAGATATTAAAAATATTAAGAGAATTATAATTAAATTGAGAATGTATCATCTGTTGAAAAAAAAATTAGTAACTTTTTAAATAATTATTAATTCACTCATTTGATCTAGACCATAAAAGAACACGATATTAATTCTGTTAATTATTCCACTAAAATCCATTCGGAAATGAGATAACTCTTTTAAAAAAATATCATAAGAGGCAAGGAAATAAAAATTTTTGAAATTCTTAGTTGATCTCACTATGATAGATAATCATTTTTATAATAATTGGATCTAATGCTTTAAACGTATTGTTTAAAATGAAGGTTGATCGAAAAAATAAATATTTTGAAAAAATCAGAATTAAAAACAAGTCTGTTTTTGGAGATAATATTGAAAAAAATAAAGTTGAAAAAAAAAAAATTTATATATTAATGGAATTAATTTAAATGAGGCTAAATTGCTTGTTTTTAAGATTGTCATACCCATTATGTCTACTCAGTCTGTTTCTCTCCTGATGGAAATACATTAGCTTCTGGTAGTGTAGATAACTCTATCCGTCTATGGGATGTCAAAACAGGATAATAAAAAGCCAAATTAGATGGTCAT